ACCTCACAGTTGTGCTGGCTGGAAGTCATTCCTTTTGAGACTCCCTCAGTGCTCTGTTGAAGTGGAAGAGTGGGTTCAATCCCATTCCTAATGTGTAGGTGGATACCTCTCCCAAGTTTCCTTCATAGGTTGGCACTTATCAGTCCCTTTATGATGGATTTGCTGCCAAGGCAAGGGTAGTCAGCACCCACTCCTAGAAACGGGTTCCTCTGTGGTGCAAGTGGAAGTACCCCCTGTTGATAATTACAGCTTCCCCAGACAATGAGATGTATTGGTTATGCCTGTAGATATTCAGGGCCAGATTTAAGCAAATACTTTAGACTTGGGCAGACTTTAAGAAACTAAGATCCTAATTTAGTGGCTACTTTAACCATAGCAAGTTCTTGTTGTGTTTTTTAATGCTTCTTCTTAGGCCGGAAAGTTCCTCTAGCTATCTGCAGCTGCACTTGCTTTGGTCGGAGCAACTAGGCATTAGTTTTCTCTAAGCCCCAGGCTTTCCAGAAACTTGGAAGGAGAGATGTTTGAAGTCTCCTGTGGGGCTCCATTCAGTAGGTGTGTTCAGGGCATGCCAAAAGCCTGGGGACTGGATCAGTTACTTGTAAAACACCATTGTGGCTGCCTCTTTAAATCCTTTTTTGAGTTCAGCTGAAAGGCGGGGAGGTGGTTGCTGTTGTGCCCCCGTTCATTTAATAAACTAGTGGAGAAAGGTGTATGCTCCATACAGTAGGGTTCAAAATGGTATCCCTATAGGAGAGTGTGTTATGCAGATGGTTGTGGAATAGTTTGGCAGCCCCGGAAGGATTTTCTTAAGAGGGAGATGGCATCTAGATTTTCGGTTAAGGTAAGGTGTGGGGGAGCCTGGATTCTGGTTTTGGCTCCTGTCACCATTTATTTGGCCCTTCTATTGACCCATCACTGCTTAGGAAGCAGGGACTGGGACTCTGGTCTCCCTGTACTAAGTGTGTGTGCAGCTTAGTTAAGTCCCTAGTTAAGGGATTTGGTCAGATTCATTCCTTGTTCTATTTGTTTTTCTGTGGAACAGGTATATTTAGCTAAACATTAGTGAAATGCATTACTTATGAGTGATTGTTATTAGTTTTAAAATAATAAAAATTCAAAATAGCTTATTCAAGTAGTAATGTTTATTTGTATATTACCTATATGGGAGGGAATACTTTTTTGTGTGTTAAGGTAGCATGTCAAATAACACTTTAGAGGTAGGAAAAATCTTTCCAAAGATATGGCAGAGTGTAGCATTTTTTTTATAGCTTTGGATTTTGGGTGGCAATAATATAGCTTGGTGTTTTACTTAAATACTACATAAGATCAGTCCGTTTCCTTCTGGTATTGTTGGGAACACCCAGAAGTCCTGGGTGGGGGCCATGTGGCTGGGAGGAGAGGAGAGGTTGAAACGCCCACAGATCTGAGAGGAGATGCTGCAGCAAGGCCTGGCAAGCTTGTTTGACTGAGGGAGTGTATGTTTCATGCTGCAGGAGCTAGTGAAACCTGTTAATCCAAGATGGAACAGTAGGGTCTTGCAAGATAATACAGCAAAGCCTATGACCAGAATGGTGGTTGGAGCAAAACGTTTTGCACCAAGAGTGGTCTGGCTTTAGAGCTAAATATTGGGTTCAGTTCTTGGTAAATGGTGAGACCTTGGTAAGTGTTTGTGGAAAATGCCACAAAACAAGAGGCTAGAAAGTAGTTAGTCAGGAAAAGACCTATGAGGTTACATCTTGGATAAACGGTGCAGAACAGGGCTTTCTCTGGCCTTTTGCCTGATCCACTTTTAGCTTGGAGCTTCTGTCAGTTTGTCTAGTGAGATTATTCCAGTCTGATGGTTTTTGCTGTTGAGGAAAGACGTTCTCATATTTAGCTGGGAACTCTATCCCTCTCGCTTTGCTCCTGTTAACCACCTTATCCGTATTCCACTGATTTCTCCCCTGCCTGTGGATGTGATTATAGCCATATTCCTTTTCTTTTTTTTTTTTTTTCTTTGATCAACTTCCTTCCAGTTTTGGGAAAGCAGAAAGAAGATGGCATTGGTGAAATCCAGGGCTTCTAACCAGCTGACTTGGGAGAGTCACCTTTGTCTGTACATTATCCAGCTACTAAATGGCAAACATGATAGCAGAGAGAGGAAAAAAGTGATGCACTCTTAATGAGTGTGCATCTTGCTACATCCCACAGATCACACATGGGGAAAGGAGCAATAGGTAGTGACTGTCAGTACTATCAGATAAGCTGCTTGAGGTTTGTTCTAGAAATTGACTTCTTGTGTATGTTCATTTTATTTTTCAGCTACTAAAGTTCTTGGCACTGTCAAGTGGTTCAATGTCAGAAACGGATATGGCTTTATCAACAGGTTTGTTGATCACTTATTTGTACATCTCCAAAAATGTGTTGGTGCCCCCTGCCTTCCCTATTGTGCACCTTCATCTCCCATCAACTCTAGCAGTGGATGAACCTCAAAAGTGTGAGTGCCGTGGTGAGCTACCTAAATGAAACTCAAAAAATAATGTTTAGTGGGGCTACTACTTCAGCCTGCAAAGCCTGTTTTGGAACCTCATGGAAACGGGGGTTTTCTGAATTGCTTGATACTTCTTATTCCCTCTTGGGTTTGAAATAACACAAGTTCAGCCTCCACTGCAGTATTTCTGTTTTGACACCTTCATACTTGGCAAGATTTTGGAGTAGAAAGCAGAGATGGTGGATGTGGGAGGAATCTACTGAACCTTTTCAAACTTTTGAAGGTGTAGGGGGTGGATAAGAGGGGGGCAAAGGAGCTTTGTAGACTTGGGTTTTTAAATGTCTAAAAATTCATTTAATAAAGCTTCATTGAGTTGATCCACCCCTGCCCCCCCCAATTCTACTAACATTCTCACCAATATGTTTAAGTGGAGGTGGTCACAGAGCTGAACATAGAAAATGTGTCCTGGGAGCCTACCTGCTCACCTCTGTCCTGGGCTAGGTCATTCTAGCCTTTGACCTGAAAAGGTTGCCAGCTGCTGCTCCAGATGACTTCAGGCTCAAATGTCAGTAGCTAAAAGCTAAGAATATATGGCTTCCTTGTGAAGGCCCTCTGTATCTTGCTGTTTCTTTGGTAGTTTTTCTTAATTAGTTTTTATGTTCTATAATGTGATTTTTTTTTTTTTTTTTTTTTTTTTAAAAAGGG